CCCCACCCCCGCCTCCACCACCACCCGGTGGTGGGAGAGCCCCTCCACCGCCTCCCCCACCCGGTGGTGGGAGAGCCCCACCACCACCTCCCCCACCGGGTGGTGGTGGAGCCCCAGCACCCCCTCCCCCTCCGGGAGGTCGTGGAGCCCCACCCCCTCCTAGACCTCCTGGTGGTGGTGGACCTCCTCCACCTCCACCACTAGGTGCAAGAGGAGCAAACGCTCCACCTGACCCTAGAGGTTTGTCCTCTGGAAGAGGGCGTGGGCTATCACGCTCAACAGCTACAGCACCTCGAAGGTCCTCCTTAAAGCCCCTACATTGGAGCAAAGTAACGAGAGTTCTGCAAGGGAGCCTGTGGGAAGAACTGCAGAGATATGGAGAACCTCAAATGTATTCTGATTTTTCTTTTAAGTTATCTTGCTTATTTGAATTTGAAAATCACTCTCTGCCTTACTATCAGTGCTTTAATAATATTTATGCTATTTGCGTCTTATTGGTGCTTCCTTTTTCTCCCGCCTCTTCAGTGCACCAGAGTTTGATGTGTCTGAGTTAGAGAGCCTCTTTTCTGCAAATGTTCCCAAACCAGCTGATGGAGGTAAATCTGGAGGGCGAAGGAAGTCTGTTGGATCCAAAAGTGACAAAGTTCACCTGGTAATTTTATCGATTGTGTCCTTTGTAGGAAGTCTCATTTTTATGATGGAAAGCACTTCTAGGATTAGTATGTATATAATCTTCGTCTGTTGATTATCATTACAAATTATTTGAAACTCGATACAATTAACATTCAGAGTGAGAGTTTTTAATTTGTATTTGTGCGACTTGAAGAGCTGAACCCTGTGAAACAATAGAGAAATTAGTTCAAACCAATTTGTAACAGTAGGTTAAAATCTAGTACGACAAAGTATCGGAAAATGCAGTGAGTTTAGAAAACCAACACTTTGAGGAGTGACCTTAATGAAATAAAGTGACCTGTGAAGTTTTCCATTCTCCTATTTAAAACAATTGTAACATCAATTTGAAGGTGCCTTCTGAGATTCTATATTCCTTAACGAATTACATTTTATCATCTTCTAATATATTCTTTAAATGATGTTAGAAAATTGTAATTTAGCTTGGGATAGAGGCCTTTTTTGATTGACATGCTTTTCCGAAAGAGCAATGTGTTCATTTAGATGAGCATGTACAACGAGAAAAGAATAAGCATTAATTTTTTTTGGTGTATGCTACAGTGATTCAGTGAGTATGTTAGCTGCCATTATAGTAATTATCATGGTTTTATGAGTCTTTAGTAAATGCGATCTACACACATTCTCTCTCAAAACTCCCTACATTAAGATAGCTTGCACGGTATCAGAGTCTAGGGCTGTTTAGGGTTTCTTGGGTTGTTTGGTTTTTTTTTCCTTCAAATGAGACTAAGATTTGCAATTTGATTTACCACTTTGGAACGGTGGTGGCCCGCCCACCTCAAGAAGATGTTCCCCACATGGGCAATTGTGCCATTTTTGCAAGTCCTTGTATTCTTCGAAACAAAGCTCGAGCATGGTTTGAATGAGAACTTTGGGTTGATGAAAAGCACATAAGACCATTCTTTTATAAAGAGTTTAGAGTTATTCTGTTGGTTGTATAGGCGTCTTATTACTATTGTTATTACTACTTTATAAAGAATTTAGAGTTACTTAGGGCTCCTATGTATATCATTGTGATAATTTCAACGAGAGAACTTTGGATGTTGAATTATTTTCATAACTATTTTTTGGCATAGAGGTGGTAGGATTGGTAAGCTAGGGTGTGTGCCATTGTAGAGGGATGCTTTGGGATGGAAGGAACCGTAGAATTCTTAATAGAATTTGTAAAGGGCTTGAGAGGCTATGAATGAGACTTGGTACTTTATTAGGTTAAGTGTGTCCATCTGGGCGGTCTGTGACAATTTTTTTTTTGTAATTATCCATTAGGTCTTATTTGGCTGATTCGAAGCCATTTTTATAGTTTGCCTTCTTTTTGTGGGGTTTCCTTCTTTTTTTTATGCCCTTGTATTCTTTCATTGAGAAATGAATGTTCGGTAGTTCGTTCGGTTTTTTAGGAAAGGGATTCTTTAATTTCGAAGGAAATATGCACTTCCTTGTTTGAGACAAGGAAGTTTGTAATGCTCTAATTAGCCTAATGCATGGACAACTTATTTAAGGATATTGAGGATTCTGGAAAGCCTGAACTATCTAGTCAAGATGTTGCTTATTCAATTAACATTATAGGTCAATACAATACATCACAATTTCCAGCTTGAAAGCTAGACCTTGTTTTTTGTTCAACTTTTTATAGGATTTTTTATTAGGGTAATTTAGTTTAGTAGAAGAGTAAGAAGTAAAATGTACAATCATGTGTGGGTGAAAAATCAAAATCAAGAGCTATGACATAATTTGTGTGTGAAGTTGTGTGGATACATTAACTTTAGACTGAGTTAGGTTTCAATATCATAATTCAGTCAAACTGCAAAGTGATAACCGAGCTCCTTTTATGATTACCTCCAATATGATATTTCATGAGTGAACCATGATTCATTATGTTAAACCACCAGATATGTAAAATCTGAACAACAGGTTGGGACATTGTTACTAGGGCTCTAATTAAAACATGTTTTAGGCTTGATTAACATATATACTCCAGCATATGGGTTGTTGCCTATTTCTTGTAGAAAGGAATACTACTGAAAATTTTTATCATGTACATGATTTTGTTTCTTTAAAACATGTTGAGTAAATGATAATTTTGAATATATTTATATTTTTTGTAGATTGACCTCAGAAGAGCTAATAACACTGAAATTATGCTCACCAAAGTAAAGATGCCTCTTCCTGATATGATGGTAAGTCAGACTTATTTCTTATTTTCAGTACATCTACACGTCTACCGAAACCATGTATGTTTGAAACTGTCTGCTGCAATGACATTGAATATTATACATGCTCAATACCATAATTTTGTTCTATATTCATGATGATTAAAGCCCCTGCAACAATTGAAGACTGGAGTGATTATAGTTTAAGGGAAAAAAATTGACTGACCCACAACAGCTATTCCTATCTTTTACCATCACTCTATCGTTGCCCTTTACCTTCCAAGGCTAGAAAAACGATCAGCAAGTCTATTGCAAGCTATAAAAGGTACTTGTGAACTTCAAGTTCAGACACACTAGGATGATCCATGTTCCTTGTCTGGAAACCACCAATCCTCATAAACTTGGAACTATAACACAATGAGAATGTATTGCAGTTCTAGTATGAATTTTAACAAAATGAAAAATTTTTGCATCTGAAAAACTGTAAGATTATTAGGTTTTTCTACTTCCAGATTACCAGGTTGAGCACATGCGTAGTCTTAAGTTTAAATCTTGCTCTTTTTAACAGATGTCTGTTGAGAAGGATAACGCTATATTGGAGACACTGAGTTGATAAATACACTTCCTTTCTCATTTTACAGAAACTTGTTTTTAGCGTTAGTCATGTATTTTATTTATAATAGTGAACGTAATTGATGAAAATTCTTGCTTTTAATGTATGATATCTCAGGCTGCAGTGCTAGCTATGGACGAGTCAGTATTAGATGTTGATCAGGTGGAAAATCTCATAAAATTTTGTCCTACGAAGGAGGAGATGGAACTTCTTAAGGTGAATTTTTGAATACTTGGAATTAACGGCCGGTGGAAGAAATAAACTTGACTATGAGCACTTTTTCATAGTTTCTCAGAATACTAATAATTCTGTAGTCACTTGTTTTGTATTTTTTATTTTTCTTCGTCCTTTTATTATTTTTGTTGACATGTTTATTGTTTATTATCTATCTAGGGATACACTGGTGATAAGGATAACCTTGGAAAGTGTGAACAGGTATTCTGTTTACTTTGTTGCACATAATAAATTACTTGATAAAGCCATGAAACCTGTTACACTAAGCGTTTCCGTGAATGAGTGATGCTTTAGAAAATTAGCTTGCTGTTGCATTTTCCTGATATTGATTTCTAATATTGTTCATTATGAGTGTTATGTAGCAGGGTAAAAAATGGCGTCTCTCATCTGGGGCTAGGGATGTTATCTGGATGGGGTTGTTATAGCTTCCTCCTCCCCATCCTCACAAAAATTTCCATTAAATTTTGTTGAGTTCGGGGGGTGGAGATTTCCATCTGGGAGTTCTTTCAGTATTGGGTTCCCCGTGGGGAATTATTTTTAAATTAAATGAACCAAGGAAAATTCCCATTAAAGAGATATTTCTTAATCCACCTAATAGAATCAAAATAATATTCCATGTTAAATCTCTAATTATCGGTACACACAGAATCAAAATAATATTCCATGTTCAACTATATTATATGTATAAGAAGAGGCAAATGGGCTGGAACGGTAAACATTTAGCTCATGGGGAATATTTTTCTCCACTCATTCCCGGGGGGGATTGGGGGAAGCACCCCTATGTGGGTCTCTTTCTCTCTTATTGGTTTTAATGAGTTTGGTGAACTTCCCCTGTTTGATGTTGATAACCATTTCATTTCTAGTTTTCTGTTTTTGAAATTTATGCATGTTTTCTCTCCATGGTTGTACTAAGGTTTTCATCTTTTGTTTTTAGAAACTCTGGAATTCTTAGTCAAATTCTAAAAACAAAAACAAGTTTTTGAAAATTACTTTTTTTTTTATTTGGTTTTCAAAACTTGCTTGGTTTTTGAAAACATTGGTAGTAAGTGGATAATAACCAAACAAAGAAACTTATAGGTGAAAGCAGGGTTTATAAGCTTAATTTTTAAAGCAAAAAACTGAAGACCTTTGATTATCAAATGGGGCCTTAAATTGCTGGTATTCACTTCTGCTTTAAGATTATTTGTTAATTGGATCCATTTGAATAGCTCACTTGCCTAACTTATTGCTTTGATTATCATAGGTAAAAAGCCATTTATTTATTTTGTCGTCTTTTGTATCAGTATTTTTTGGAGCTGATGAAAGTGCCTCGAGTAGAGTCAAAGTTGAGAGTGTTTTCCTTTAAGATTCAGTTCGGCTCTCAGGTTTGGTGGTATCTTCAATTCAAACTAATTTTGTTGTTTAATATTTCTAGATTATTGAATTACATCTTTTAACTGGCATCTTTGTTTCCCTTCTCCAGATATCAGAATTTAAGAAGAGTTTAAATACTGTCAACTCTGCATGTGTCGAGGTTGTTACTGCTGAGAATAAAATTTGCTGTAGTTTTGGTCTGTCACTTTAAACTTTCATGCTTCCACCCTTCTAAAATTAACTGTTACTGCTTTTTAGGTTAGGAATTCTGCCAAACTGAAGGAGATTATGAAGAAAATTCTTTATCTGGGGAATACACTGAATCAAGGAACAGCAAGGGGTAAGGCCTTAGTTACTTATTCGTATATGGGAAGTTCATCTCCATTTTCATCTATTTTGATACCTAGCTTGGAAGGAAATATGACTATAACTTGCATATAAATAGAAATATTTATTGAGTAATTCTTTCTGTGGTGTGGAATTAAATATTTTTTTGCAAGGATAAACTTGAGTTCGTTTGACAGTCTCGTGAGACAATGATTAAATGTACTAAAATAATGTTGTCACTTATGTTACCATATGGTGTCATGCTACGATTTGTGCATTTATTTACTGATGAGTGGTCTAGTTGCTGATCCATACTATTTCCAAGCAACATGAAAACAGTCGAACTATTAAAAAAGACACTATTTTTACCTGCATCTTGCTCCCGCTCGATGGTATATGCAAATATGCTTCTTCTTCTTTCTTTATTTTATTTTATTTTATTTACAATTTTATAGTTTATAATTTTAAAATTAAACTCATGACATGTTCGATGAATGGCTAATAAAGCTCAGACCTCATCCCAGTCTGGTTGAATGCTTACATGGTCCCATCTTATCATTTATCTGCCCAGAACTTATTGGCAATTTTGAAGAGGTTTATATATTGGATGTCTTGTACTTTGTCCATTCATTTGCTTGGTTTGTATAATTGAAAAAACTATAAATTATGAACTTACAGGTTCTGCAGTTGGCTTCAAGTTGGACAGTCTTTTAAAGCTTGCTGATACACGTGCTTCTAATAATAAGATGACACTCATGCATTATCTTTGCAAGGTTTTTTAATCTGATTATCCCTTTGCTTTTCTCTTTCTATTGGGTTATTTATGTTTATTTCCTTCATGGTTGATTAGAGAAGTCACACGTGCATTATGCCTTCACATGTTACATGATATGTAGTTGTAGATATATTAGTGCATATCCAGCCTGTTCCTGTTCATAGTGAGAAAGGTCTGTATAAGCACTGAAGCTGGTCTAATTAAGAAGCTGTATTTTTTTTTTCTTGGTCACTTTCATCAGTAGGAAAATAATTATAAAATAATTGCAGCGGAAAAGGAGAGGGAGAACCACAAAAAGTGAGAACTGTTAAAACCCTCATGGAGGATGTGGGCCAAAAGGGACAATAGACCGGTAGCCCCCACCCTTCCAAAAAAGATGTCTTCAGCAAAAAAAGCCATTTACTAAAAATCCTTCGAAGAGATATTTTCAAATGTGCCTTCCCAAATATGGATATGAGATGAAAATCTTCGTAGGAACTTGCATTTGTGTTGATATATTAGAGCTTAGATGTGTCCAATAAACCTCACTAAAACGGGATGGGTGGTTGTCTTGATAGACCTTTTTTGATGGAACACATTGTGTTAAAGAATGTGATACCTAAAAGCATGAAACTATCAGAATACCTGAAGAAGTTTTAGTATACTGCACTAGTGGGCCTTTGGTCATGCATGTTGTTCTGATGTAAGGAGATGATTTGAGTTATCAGATTTCGTGGTTTGAGTACTATGTTCATAGATCTTTTGATTCGTTTGCATCTCTGGAAGGAGATGAACCCTTCTATACTTAAGGTTGGTTTGCAATCTCAAATTTTTTAGGTCCTCGCTTCAAAGACACCAGCTCTTCTTAATTTTCATTTGGACCTCGGTAGCCTAGAGGCAGCAACCAAGGTACGATTCTTTGGTTTTTTCTTCAATATTTGTTAGTTGGTTTATACTTTTGACATCTATACATATATATTTATAAGAAATATAAATTTTCATCAAGGATAACGAAATACACAAAACATTCCAATAAATTTTTGATATGCACTCCAATTTCTGTGCTAGGAGAGTATAAACCTTAGAGAAACTCCAGAAAGAAACATTGCAAGTAATGGCCTCCCAATCTTCCCCCTGTTCCTTTGTCATTGAAGAGTTTTTTTGCCGTTGTTCCTGAAGAATTTTATTCTCTTTGTTGCTCCTGAGGAATTTTCCTTTCCCTTCCATCCAAGCATGCAAAAATTGTTTAAATGGACCTTGGTTTTTGTTAACTTCATATTTTCTCTCTATGTAGATACAATTGAAGTCTTTAGCAGAAGAAATGCAAGCTATAATTAAGGGGTTAGAAAAGGTCAGGCAGGAGCTTGTTGCTTCTGAAGGTGATGGTCCAGTCTCTGAAATTTTTCGCAAGGTACATTGCTTTTTCATATGTTCTTCCCAAGAACTTTTTGGCACTTTTATTCTTCCATCAATTTTGCACTTTTTTGCCTTTTCATATATATCTGTGTCTTATAAAGAGGAACAAATAAATAACTTGGTTCAATTTTCTTTGCATGGCAGTCGTTTACCTATGGAGAAATTTCCTGTAACATGCATATAGTCCTACATTCAATTACTTTGGAAGGATAATTCCAGTAAAACTGTGTTCTCAATTGTCACTTGAAAGAATTAATCATACATCAAAACGGCACTTTAATAATTTGTTTAATCATATGTTGATTGTGATATTGAACTTGACAATCATGTTTTTGAACTTTCTAGGTATTAGTACATGTTATTAAATTTTGAAATAATCAGGATAAAAAAGCCAATTATTTGCAATCTCCACTGAATTTGAAGTATACTAGATCAGAAAAGAGAATTGGATTCACACAACTGATCAACATCTCACTTTTCACCCACAAATCTTCCAATTCAGAAAGATCCTCAAGCAAACATTTTGATGCAAACCGGGACCATACTTCAGCAATCTTTGACGTAATTTAAATAAGCAAAATAAATATCATGTGAAAAACTTGAGATCTCCACCAAGAAAAATCTTATTATGTAAACAGGCATTTCTTTTCTTAATATTTGGTTTTGCTCAACAGCCCAAAACAAAAACGATAGTATCATCCTTCGTGAAATTTGATTTGGTACCCTGACAACCCTTTTCTGTACTTTATTGTCCTAAAATTAGACGCTGAAAGAATTTATTGCTATCGCTGAGACAGAGGTGGCATCAGTGACAAATCTATACTCTACTGTGGTAATTTTCTAGATCGCACTACTATTTTGAAATGATTAAATGATGTCAGGGAAAGAGAGCGATCTTATTTTTCATTCTGTTCTTTGGTGGACAGGGTAGAAATGCAGATGCACTTGCACTATATTTTGGTGAGGATCCAGCTCGTTGTCCATTTGAGCAGGGTACGCTATGATCCTTTTGGTTGTGCTATTATCTTCTTTCTACATGTTTACTTGTTTCGCATACTTGAATCAAAGTTAAGCCTCAGTTCTTCCAATTTTTTGTTTACTCATTATTAGTTCCCCACCTAATAATTATTATCATGCGTGCTTATGGTCAATTTTTCTCGCTTGAAAAGCTGGGTCACTTTGTGTTGACTCTTTGGCTAGGAAATATTGCATAATGGGGTTTCTTTGTTTTGTTATGCAATGTTTTTTAATTTTCCCATTCCCTCCTTGTCTAGTTTTCATGAATATGGTTGGAAGAAGAGATGTAGAATCATGAACCTGAACTTGTCCGACAATGTTATTCTCGTTATATGCATGTTCTTGTTATGAACCTCAAAACTGTTTGAATCGTACAATTATGTATTGTTTAGGGAATATTGTTGTTGTTTCTTTCTATTCTTGCTGTTTGTGATATATACATGGTTAATTTTACACCAATTGGGCTGCAGTTACAGTGACATTATTGAACTTTATGAGATTATTTCGGAAAGCCCACGAAGAAAACTGCAAACAGGCCGAACTGGAAAGGAAAAAGGCGGAGAAAGAAGCTGAAATGGAGAAAGCCAAAGGAATTAGCCTTACGAAGAAGAGTGTGAAATAGGTGATATACTTGAGTTCTCCTTAGCACGGGAGATTGAGCTTTTGTCCTGCAATTGCAACTCGGTTGTCACCTTGGGGCCGAGGGGAAGCATGCCTTGTGACCAGCTTCAAAGAAAATCCAATTTGAGATATGTTCTGCAGTGCTAAAACCTCGATGAACATGGATAAACACATGGGCTGTTTATTTGTGCCTGCAGAACTTCTGAGTTGGCCAAGTTGTTTATTTGTACATAGTTGACGTGCTGCTACCTGGACCAACAGAATCGTGTCCCAACTCAACCGATCTTTCACACTTGAATAGACATATCAACCATGGAGATAACATTGGGTGCTGACCATCTTCGCGAATCAAAGGTATTCCATGTGCTGGCAGCTTCAATTCTGATTATGGGTTTGGCTCCTCCGGCAGATTTTTTCAGAATAGTGTTTACAATCCTAGATCAGTGTTTGGATTAAAGTAGGTGATCTGGTTTCGGCTTTGACAATGAATGCATGTGGCACAAAAGTTTTGGGCAGAGAATTTGCATATCCTTGAAATCCAGCCGTAGCACGAAGCCATGTACAGAGCGAGCCTCTCTAACCATTCCATACATTAGAATGTAAATTTTTTTGTTGTTTGATGTATCATGAAAATAGTTTCTCTCCCTCTTATTTGTAGATTTTTTTTGACTCAAACCCGTCCTAGAGATGTTGTATAGCGCAGATTCAGAGAGTAATTAGAAGACGGGTTCTCCCACCACTGTAATTGTAATATAAATCGAAAATATAGGCCACGTTTGAAATCCTCTCGTTTCTCTCACCTTTATTCCTCCACATAAAATGTTCACTCATTCATCTATTTTTTGTCCTGATTTTCCTCCAGGCATTACCATAATGGGACATTCCTTGTTTGTCTTCGGTGGAAAATTTCAGATAAGGATTATCCACCACACAGCTCATCATTGAGAATCGGTTCAAGTGCCTGAAATTTTTTTTGTGGATGTTTTATCACTTGGTTCAAGGTACTCGGGAAAAATTTTAGTATAGAAATACTAAAATTGAGGAAATTCTCTTAGGCACTTGGTTCCCGTTATTAACGCTATTGAAAGGAGCTTTGTATTTGGAAGATCAACTCCTCGTGGCATTAGAGATGTTTTAAAGGAGCACTAGATGTTATACGAAAACACTGTATTTTTCTTGGAGTTTCGAAGGGATCCAGAGAAGAGAATGAGGAATATATACGAAAACTGATTACATAATTTCTTATAGCATAATATGATGATTTCTCCATAAAATCTAAAACTAAAAACAAACGAGCAAGTAAACCCAAGTATACTGTGAAGAAAACTAAAAGAGAACTTAATCCATATGGATATCCCCTCCCAATGTCCTGAAAGATTGGTTATTTACAACTTGAAAGTAATAGGAATTTGAATGCAGAGCTTAAAAGGCTAAAGAGCTGATTCCCAGTAATTCTAAGCAGCTAAACGAATCATATTTTTGCAAATATTCGTGAGTTCCAGACTCCCTAGAGTAAAAATTAACAAGAGAGTCTGTTTCAATTCTCTCATGGAAGTTCTTCAAAACCCTTCAAATGCGGGCGACCTTCATTGTCCTTCTCAGCAACACCCATCCAAAGGCAAAAAGAGCTCTTGCTTTCCGGACCCATCAAGCAACTTTTGAAGAACATGGTGTTAACAATGGCGTCCAGGACAACAAAAACCGAGTACAAATAGGCAACAAACATTCCTTCCAGCACCATGGAAGGCCCCAATCTCCCCCTGGAATGGTAATCTCGTACTATTCTGTACTGGAATAGAGCTTCAGTGGCCGCCATTCCCAGATTGAAAGGCAGCGCCACCAATAGGGCCGTGGCGCTTCTCCCCTGAATCAAAACACAAGCCTTAAGAATCACCATGAATCCCCCATTCCTCTCCATGCCGGACAAAACCCATGCCAAATTGCATATTATGATGGCTTTGGCAATTGCTACTGAATACAGAAAAGCCCCAAAAACTGACACCAACAGGAGGCAATTGGGAGAAAAACACCCAAATCCCTCGAGGCAATTGAAGGCGAAAAATAGCATACAAAACACGGTAGCGTTTGCAGAGACGTAAACGCATACATTGCAGACATGGGTCAGAAGGAGCGGATTAAAAAGGGGTATAATGGATGAAAATGAAGGCACCGACTTGGGTTTCTGCTGATTGAGAGCTTGAATTACACAGGCTTTTGAGATCAAAAGGAAAGTGAGAGAAAAGGGCAGAGAATAGATGGAGGAAACGATGGTTTGAGAGAGCTTTTGAATGAGAATGGAGAAGAATTTTGAAGAAGTGGGGAATCCAGCCGCACCAAATAGAGTCCTCAAGTGATCAAAAGTAAATGGAAGAAGAGAAGAAGAAGAAAGAAGAAGAGCTTGTGAAAGAAGAACAGAGATGGCATATGGAAATGCCAGAACAGCTACAATTGAGGTGAAGTACTGATAATTCTGAAGGAAACTGTAAATCGATCTTCTGACGAGCTTCCTCGGTGCCTCCATTGATTCAAAATGATGGGTTCTGGATTCTGGGTTTTGAATCAAATGGGCATCTAACAAGTTTGCTGATTTGTGGCTGTGCATTTTTCAGCATAAGAAGAAGTTATCGATTCTTCCATATCTAACAAACAAGCAAGAAGATGGAGAAAAAGTTACCTTCCTTTTTGAATTTGCTTGAGGCTTGAGGATTGGCTTTCATTTCACCCTCTTTGCTTGATGATGCAATTTCAGTTCCTCCTTTAAATTGCTTCTAATTCACTCCTTTCGCCATTTGTTTTATAATAGTCGCACGCAACCTTCCTTTTTCTAAGTCCATAAACAAATAATTTTCAATAATTATCATTTGGGAGAACTTTGAAAGCAAGGGATCCAGAGAGAGATTGATCACCTAATGCTTCATCTATCTATCAACCACAGCCTATAAGGTTATAATTAATTGCTTAATCAATCAACCATTCAATTACATTTATGAGTTCTTCTTCCAATACCCATTTTCATCCAATTTATGTGGTATTTATTTCAGTGTAGTTTCAAATTGGATAACTAACAAAAACTACGACCCTTTGGGAAATGATATTACTATATTAGAATAGCAAACAAACAGGGAAATTTACGTAAATCCACTGAAACCCCAGAAAGTGGCCCCCTGCAAAAAAAATAATAGAGGAAAAAGCCATCGGCTCAGTCCATTTATTAAAGTGATTCCATAAATGGAGCCAAGACCGTAGCTAAACTCCAAGCAACTTCAACATTCCTTTCATTCTTATTTATTTATTTTTATTTTCATAAAACTTATATTCATTCATATTCATTATTAAAGGTGTTAATAGTTTTTTCTTTTTTGGTATTTTGGCTTTTAAAATGGAAGATGTATTTGTTAAAAGGATGTGAATGGCAAGCCTTTCTGACCTACGCTTCCATGGCGGATGGTAGATGTAGATCTCACCTTATAAAAACAAACAAAATTTTTAAAAATAAAAAATAAAAGTTAGGCACTTTTTTTTTTTTAATTTTTTAATTTTGCTTAATTTTATTATCATTTATATGGATCTAGTTGATTACCAAACATGGGACAACCCCTTGGTTCCTTTTTTTCATATAAATTTTTTAATTTATTTTGTTTTATAATAAAGTTTTGGTATTTTATCGCATGCCTCACTTCCTAAAATTTCTTTGCAAAACTTATATTTTAAGTTCTATTTACTTTCTACCGAATAAGGAATGAGAATAAAACTTTTAATTTTCTTTAATGATGTTTATTGGAATTTTAGAATTAAAAAGTGAGATTCATCTCACTTCCAAAAAAAAAAAAAAAAAAAAAAAAAAAAAAAAAAAAAAAATCTAAATCGTAGTCCCCAACTTTAATCTCTTAAATTTAATTCTTACTATTAGTTTATAGTTAATTTTTCTAATTTTTTTAATTAAAATTTTCAAACATAAAGTTGGAAACATATTTACATAGAGTATTTTGCGGCACAAAAATATTTATTATTATTTAACTATAGACTAAAATTTAACAAATTACAACTAGAGTAGTAAAATAATACTTTAACCATCTTATTTATATTTGGAGGCATTACCTATGAATCCAACAGCCAACCAATTGTTTACATGTTGGGGAATGCCTGAATAAACACAAGAAGATTCATATACAGAGGGCGGGGAAGTGGCAGAAGATTCAAACTAGAGTGAAATAAGCAATGGAGAGAGGGAAACGAAATGCAGCAACCACGAGATCAATCGACTGAAATAAGCAAGAACGGAAAAACTAATGGCCACAAAGGAGTTGTGATGGAACCACAAGGAAGCTTAAGACAAAGGGTGCAATCAAAGTCATCACTACCATGGTTCACATATATTCAAAATTTTAACTGGGCTAAATCATACCAAATATCCTAATATCCTTTAAACTTTGGAGTGTGTTTGTAATCTTAAACTTCAAAAAGTTACAAACTTAAGAGTGTGTTTGGGCTAAATCATGCACTTATACGGTTTCGGTGGTTTTAAGTTGTCGGCAGAAAAAGGAAGTTGAAATTGGAAATTACAGACGACAGGGAGTAGCGGGAGCCGGAGGAAGGCACATCATTGATGCCGCCGAAACCTGTCCGTTCGGATTCTATTCTGTCTATCTTTCTTTCTTTGTCATCCACATTTAGCCAAATGTTGTGACAAATATGCCTGCCAATGCCTATTGGGATGAGATTTCCCGCCTCGGATACTATCCTTACCCTTACCCTTACCCTTACCCTATCAACTTTCCTCCACGAATGTCTCATCCGCAGGCCCTTTTCCAGGTGCAGCCTGGGGCTTGTCTAACATCTAAACAATACAACAAGCTCTGTATACCCTTATACCAAAATATATTCTAAAAAGACCTACCAATCCAAACATAGTTCACTAGATAAAACATCCATCGACTTATCTGAAGTTGAAATGAAAGTTTGATCTCTCACCTCTAATCCAATCCTACTGCTGGGGCGAAACAAATAAAACAAATAAATATATAAAATGATGGTGATGAAGCCTAGGACTTATACTTGCCATCAGTCTTTCACTGGACCAACCAATGTAAGAGAGATTCATGCTCCATCATTCCACTACAGGACATCAATTGTTTTCTCTGTATTTTCCCCCACTTCATGAATATGATTGGAACTTCAGATTCTTGTTTGTTCTAAGCATAGCATTGAGAAAATTGATACTCCATTTCAATCACCTATATACTTCGCAAAGCAGGATAGTGAGTGTGGGTGAGCATACTTCGGGAGATGGCTCTGTGACACAAGACTGTGTTTGGTAGATGGAAACTAGAGGAAATTTGTGTTTGACCCAAGTTCTGGCTCAAAAATGAAGTTGATTTTGATCCCAGTTATAACCTTAAGTAGAACATCAAAAAGAAACAAACACTTGAACTCACAATAGACTTGTTCCACACTTCTCCAAAATACAGATAAATGCAATCCCAGATCTTTTAACCGAACAACTGCAAGCATCTAACTTACGCTTCAAAATTCGACATATACCATGTCATTTTCAACAAGAAACTGCAGGAGGTCCAGCACTAGTGATACCGGTTGTTCGAAGCACACTCTCCTTACAAAGGATTCTGGCTAAGTAAATTCTAACTAAATCTGCAAGCTGCTCTTTGCTTCACCAGAGATGCTGTTTTATTCTGTGAAGGCTAAGGTTCGTTGCAAAGTGATTCTTTCGTTATCATATCCAACTTCTGCACTAGGATTCATGGGGAAAGATCTCATCACATCCAAAACCACTCACCAAATTGGATTTCCATTATTCACACCGATGAAATAGCCAAGAGTTACAACCCCATAGTAACCAAACTGGTGTCATGATGGTCATCGCTTAGGTCAAACATTGCAAAACCATACTGACATTCAGTTACCCAATGTATCAGGAATCAATCGGAAGAGCAAAAATTCATATAGACTATTCTTCACTATTCTTGTAGGAACTTAAGGCCTAAGAATTGTGAGTGATTTTGAAAGATTTAAAATTACTTTTGACATGTCCAAAATCACTCCAAAACAAGTCCTTAACCATTCAAAATCAGTATCAGTAAGTTCAAAAATGATTTGAAGTATTTCAAAATCACTCTCAAACACTCCTAACATATGTAACTACAAATCCATATTCTCACAGCATTTAATGGTATCAGTTAAACAAGAGTCGGCCATTAGAACTTGAATCATAAGAGCCATACAATAGAGTTCTCCCTATTCTTCTTCCTTGGGAACTATAACATGCTGACCAGCTTTTCTCAGTAACATCAAGGTTCTGATCTAGGTTTGACCACATAAATTGATACCAATAGGATCAAGTCTAAATAAATAACAAGAATAGTAACGTTTCAACTTCTCAAAATAAAAAAACAAAAAAACCGTGAAGAGAGGGAAATAAAGTACCTATACTCATTACTGAAACACTGTCCTTTTAAGTTAATGAAAGAATTAAACTCTATCCTCCCCAAAAGCAGGATTAGAACGACAAGGGAAGAAAGACGGACTTGGGTATGAACTGTTACCAGCCTTTATCTGCTGTGAAATGACGTATAACACCATCACCTACAGGTAAATCACACAACGAAGTAATTTGCTCACTTGGTTGGAGGAGCATTGTTCCGGTGAAGAACGTGCCGCCGAATATCGTTTTGATCAACCAACTCCAATGGAGTGGCTGTCTCGTTCCTGATCCGCTTGATTTTGGGGCTCAAGAGGCCCCTATGCCCAAATCCATACAGCTTCAGAACTTGATTGTCGGCAAAATTGAAAGCCCTCTCCATGCTGCTCAAACACCTTTCCACTGGATAGTCTCCATAGCTACCACAAGGCTTGCAGCCCACAAAATGCGTCACGAATGGCCACCTCTCGTCGCCCAATCCAGGGTGGTACTTCTCAATCATTTCCTCATACCTATCCACTAATCCAGCCCAGTAACCATGCAAATAGTATGAATTCTCAAGAAACACCTTATCCATCCACTGATCTTTCTGAGAAAGCAATAGATATATCAAAGCTGACTGATCATCAGCTTCAAATGCTGGCCTTCCCTTCAAGTATGCAGTCAAAATCTTGCCGGCCTCTTCCCGGATAGGACCCTTTGGTCCCATTGGAGCCCAAGCATCCAGCAAATCCAAAGACCACTGGCAATTCCGAAACAAAAAGCTTCCTGTGTTGAGTGCAATCCAGGACTTCTGATCGAACATCAAATCAGGGTACCCGTGAACCACCAAATTATAGTTATCATATTTGTCCAGAGGAATTTCGAACACCATATCAGTAAATAACGCATCACTGTCCATCCACCAAATCCACTCCACCTCAGGGTGTGACAGCATCAATCGCCGGATCAACGGCAACTTGGCCCAATACCCAGCAAGTTCCTTATCTAAATGAGCCAAATTGTATACTATTTCAATCCCATGAAGCCTGCAATAGTCAATCTTATTCTTGATTGCCTTCAACAAATAATGATCTCCAATTGCATTATCGCAGGGTTTTGGAGGCGAACCGGTAACAAGCAAGATCCTAGCTCTTTTATTAATATAATTGGGAAATTGTGGGTTCTGATCCAGCCAAACCTTTCTCTCCTGATTCCAGTTCGCAATCTTGGGACCGAGTGTGTAAGTAACATTAGGGTTGATTTCTGTCTCGGCAGGATCATCCGGGTCGTTGGGGTCACTGTCAGATCGAATCTCGGCGAGGATCCGGTTGGTTTCTTCGATGATATTCTGGTTTACAGCGTCGGCCTCGGAGCTACCAAGGTTTCCGATGCCGATGGTGCCACGAAGAACAAGAATGGTGACGAAGCCACAGAGTATGGTAATCTTGATATTGTTGAAAGTCTTCTGGATCTGACGGCCACGGGGAATTCCGGGGAACGCACGGCTTCTCCTGCCATTGGCGGTGGCAGCAGTGGTGGGCAAACCATTCCCTCCACTTCCGGTTCTCTTTTGAGCTGAGATATTGTCTAGCCCCATGTTTCTTCTTCCTTCTCTGACTACAAAATTTTAACACTCGTATACAGAAAGATCTAAATCAATTGTTCTTGTTTCTATCTTGTTACCACGATTTGGAACTATGGGTTATGAGGGAAATGGCCTACTTCCCTCTATCCAATAGCTCTCTCCACCTCCCCCACCTTGAATTCAAGTATGTCAGCTAGATCGGCGATCGAAGAGATGGAACCCAAAATGGGAAGAAACAGAAAGATAAACAATCATGGAGAGATGAGGGGTAGGAGAAGAAGAGAGCAGTAATGGATATAGACTAATGCCTAATGCCTAATGAGGGGTCGATTCACGGCGTTGATGGTTGAGGAACAGCTAAGAAGGAAAGAAGAGAGTTATCTCAGCAAACAGCACCGACTGTCTGTGGATTGAAGGGCCTTATTTTAATGATTCGATGTTTTAAGTTATTGAGGGAAAAAAAAAAAAAAAAAAAAAAAAAAAAAAAAACAAACAAACAAACACCGGATTTGATGTAAATTATCATATGCATTTGTCTAATTTGTGATTGGGTCCATTGCTTCAAAATAATTATTGGGATTTGTTTTTTTAAATTTAGGGAAAATCTCTACCCTGCCGGTATATCCATATTTTACGTATATTGTTTTAGAAAATATGGCTTTCATCCCTATTTTGTAAAAAAAATGTCCAATTAATTTTCACACTAATTAAGGTTTATCCCTAATTTATGGTTATTTTTTCAACCAAAAAAATAAAAAAGAACTACTTAGCTTCTATAAACCTTCAACCTTCTATATATATATATATATGAAAATGAAATATGTAATTGACATTTTTTTATATAAATTTTTAATTTCTTCCTGAGGGCCCTTAACATTGATAAATATTCAATCTCTTGCCATAAATTGGAAATGGCATGCCAGTTTAATTTTTATTTTAAATTTTTTAAAACAAATATAAACTATTTTAGGCCTCCAGTAATTATAAAACAGATTTTTCAATGATCGTGTAGAGGACTTGCCCTCATTTTTTTTTTTTGTTAAATTTAGTAAGTTTGGCGGATTCTTACATATTTATTTAATGAGAGAATGAGTTTAGTAGAAAATTTTTGGGTGTAATTCGGTAAAACTAAAAAAAAAAAATTGTTGTTTTTTTTTTTTGCTGCCAAATTTTATTACAAAAAATTTGTCCTTGCGGCTTGCTTCAAGTTCTGTCAAATGGCCTGGCTTGTACATATCCTAAGACACTAGTTCTGTCAATTGTTCAATTTTTTTTTTTTTTTTTTTTTTTT